CGCCCACGCCCACGCCCACGCCAGCCCGGGCCCCGCGGCGCCGCGCGGGAGTCGGCACCCGCAGCCCCGGCCCCGCGCACCCACGGCCCAGAGAAGGTAGGCGCGTGCTGCTGTCCCTGACCCCATCCCAGTGCCTGCCCCGTCCCTTCCCCATCCTTGTCCCAAAGGCTGTTCGCTGCACCCGCTGCAGTCCCTGGAGTTCCTGGCTCCACCTGATGTGGCTTAAATCAGCAGCCCTTTGCCTCGGCCTGCCGCACCCACCCAAAGAAGCTGATTCTGAGAAGGCTCTTACGGGTGACAGGGGAGACCGGAATGGGGAGACGGGCTCCAGTGCTGCCCCGGTTGCCGGGAGGAGAGAGCCTTGGCAGGCTGTGTGGCTTTGAGCTGAGGATGGAAGACACAAAGACCCAAGTGCTGTTCTGTACAGTTGTGTGTCCTAAATGCTCCCAAGCTGTGGGTTTCAGGATGCTGTGAACATTTTTGTTTTGTTTTGGGACAGGGTCTCACCATGTAGTTCTGGCTTTTAACTCACTGTGTAGCCTAGGCTGGCCTCAAACTCACAGCAAACTTCCTGCCTCAGCCTCCCAAGTGATGGGATTTCAGGCATGCACTGACAGGCCTGGGTCAGGATTGTATGAACTCATAGCAAGCTCTATGTAGTCTTATAGAAAAAAGTTCTGCGAACTCTTCTAGAAAGTTGTACAAATTTCTAGAAAGTTCCTCCAAAGTATTTTGAGTGAATACGCTGCTTTGAGGGTATGTCTTAAAGACCTCAACATCTTTTAGAGTCAATAAAATATAAACTTCAGAAATGACATCATGATATCAAAATAGTTATATTACTCCTTAAAGCATAAATATGCCAAAGCAGGCAGTGTCCCTGGCAGATACAGAGGCTGTGAAGAGCTAATGGACAAATGAATGAAAAGATACTCACTGCTTACCCTGGATTCATTCAGCAGTATTTGCTGGGTGTGCTCCTTCCTAGGGCTCTGATAGACTCTGACAGAATTCTAACCCAAAACCAGTAACAACAACAAGTCAACCTGGACAAGGAGAACAAAAAGAGCAAGACCCGCCCCTGTACTTAAGACATGGGTACTTAGTTGTCCAGAGTGTTAATGCCCATGGGCCTAGGCCGGAGCATGTCCCACTTCCAGCTGACCAGGAGTGTGGTTGGCCGCTTGTTTCCCACCTTGGCCAGACAATGCACCAGAGTTGCTCTTAGCCCAGGGCTGTGGGTTGATTGGGAGGCTGAGGGAGGAAGACAGGGTCTTTCTGTGTAGTCCAGGCTGGCCTTAACCTCACTGTGGCCCAGGCTGGCCTCAAACTTGTGATCCTCCTGCCTCAACCTCTCGAGTGCTGGGATTATAGGCAGGCACCACCATGCCTGGCACCAAGGCATTTTAAAATTTTATTTTATTTTATCTTTTACCAGTGCACTTTAAAATTTAGAACTGTCCAGATTTTAGAGAGATAATTCAGGCCATATTCATGGATGGATGGCATTTTTTCTGTGGTACGGGCCAGCAATCCTTAATCCAAACACAATATTTCTGGCAGAAAATGTGAACAAAACATCTAGAATACCATTTACTTCCCTCATTGCCGGGACAAAACACCTTGACACTCACAATTTCAGAGTTTATTTTGACTCATAGTTTGTAGAGGTTTTAGTTCATAGTTGGCCGACACCAAGGCAAGATGGCATGGCAGAGGGTGTGGCGGAGGAGAGCTGCTCACTGGCGGACAGGAAGCAGAGAGAGGTCCAGGGAGGAGCCAGGAGGGAGATAAACCCTTCCAGGCCACGCCCCAGGGACCGATTTTTCTGACAGACTTCACCTCCTAACAGCCAATCAGCTGTGAGCCCCATAATCCATCACCTTCCAAAGCCCTGTGTAGTTGCTCCTGCGGGTCTTGGGAGACATCCAGATAAGAACTTGACACCTTAGGTCAGTGAAGGTCAAGTTTGCTGCCCAATGAGTTTTGTCACCAGACTGACCAAAACAGTAAAAAGATAAGGAAAGACAAAAACGTGGTTTTCAATCTCTTGATCGCAAAATCACAGAGCTGTAATCACTAAGGTTTATCGAATGTTTATTCTCTACCCAATACTGTTCTTGTCACTTTTCGCTGACAGCTCTAGGAAACAGATGTTAATATCATCCTCATTTGAGAAGAGGGGACATAGAGGCCTGGGGAATGGAGTCATGCAGCTAGTATGTGTCCAATGAGGACTCACACCCAGGCAGCCTTGGCCCTAAAGACCGATGACGCAGAAGTCGTCAGGAAGAATGGGGAGACCAAGGTGGATAAATGACCCCCCCCCAAATTCTGAGGCCATGGAAAAGCTGAGCTGCGAGGATGGCAGGGCTCCCTCCCAGCTCCCTGCAGTACTCAGCCTCCTGCAGGGCGCCAGCTGTGGGGGTGGAGGGCTGGGTTGGGGGCCCTGGCGGGAAAGGGGCGTCTCTGCAGCCTCTGCGGTTGCGAGCCTAGGAGAGCTACCCAGAGCAGGCTCTTGGGCTCACGCCTGCACTGCATGCATTCCAGCCTGTGCATTTTGGCAGGAGGACATTTTTTTCTTCTAACTTATTGACGAGGGGCCAGTTAGTGTTTACTGTGAGGTTCCTGCGGGTCTTTATCATGCTCTTGTAATTTGACAGTTTCAGATGAAACAATCCAAATATTAGCCTGGGGGCCCTGAGCTGCTGTCGGATGTCATGCACTTCCTGGCTGATGAAAATCACATTTGCTTAGATTTATCAGTCATTAGGCACTTGCTTAGTGTGTTAGACCCCAAAGAGAAACGTCAGCATGTTCCCCGGTTGGCTGTCTGCTCCACTTTGTTTCAGGTTTGAGGTTTGAGGCGAAGGCTGTTGGAGTTTAGATATTTAAGAAACCATTAGATTGTTGTGCTAGGCAACAGAGAACTTATTTGGAGCCAGATAACAAATAAAACGATTGGACCTTCCAACAAACATATATTAAGCATCTATTATGCTAGAAGGCCTGGGGACAGACAGAAAGGTAAGTGAAAATCGGGCTGTTACTGGTAGGCTGGAGCAGTTGTTTGCAAACTTTTTTAAATGTTTCTGTTAGTGCATGTTTGCAGTACATAGTGATTGCATTCATTGTGGGGAGTTGGTGCATGTACATACTTTTTTGTTAAGCATGAGAATCCTATCTGCAAATAAGCCTCAGGTGGAGGCTTGGCCTGTAACATGGATAGAAGCAGAGCTCTTCTGCCAGAAGCCTCAGAGGCACTGGTATAGAAAGCTGGAGTCTACACCCAAGTGGGACTGTGGTTTTCAGCTGTACCTGACCATTAGAATCCTCTGCCCATTTTTTCAAATATCCTGACGTCTACATTATACTCCCACCGACCTCAGAACTTGGGGCTCATCCTCAGACATCGATAGGATTCCAGTCCAGCTTATTTGAGTCTGGAGTTGTCTCTTTGGAACCTCAAGTTTCCATGGAAAAGAATTTGGGAATACAGTATCATCTAGTAGATGTTTCCAAGTCTGGTGAGCACATTCGAGAGCCTTTTGCGGTAGGATTGAATGCCTTGTTAAAAAGAAAGCTGCCAAGTCCTCATCACCTTTGATGCCCAGGGGAGACTCTGATTTGTACATTGGTGGTGTGTTCTAGGTAGCTTCATCTTAAACGATCCCTGTACAGCTCAGGGATGCGAAGCACTGCTCAGGAGGGTCAGATAGGACGTGCATGGTAACATCTTCTATGAACGGCAAAATGATGCAATAGTGGTGATAACAGCTACCATTTTAGCATGTCTGTAGTGGTGGGTGAGAGCTCAACCCAGAGGATGCTTCCCATGCTGCATGGTGGCAGAGGAGTGACCAGAGTGAAGGCAGAGGGGCAGCATGTAGCATGGAGAGTCAGGGAGGACCACACAGAGAGGCTAGGATTTGGACCCAGCCTTGGTGAATAAATAGAATTCGCCTAGCTCGGACTACGCCTGGGGACCTCTTGAGTCTACTTGCTTCCGTATCAGGCCTTTGTCTTCTTTCAGACACACACATACCCACTAGGACTCTCAACTCCAGAAGTCATGCCAGTCTTTATTGGAGCACTCCCAAGGAAAATTAAACTTCTCTGAGCCTCTGTGGGTTGATCTCTCAAATGAGAGAAATAATACTAGCTATCCTGCAGGGTTATTGTGGAAATACATGCTATAATATAGTACATTTGCATTGCTTGGTTGGTAGATGCTCAATAAAATGGAGCTTTAACTCCCATTATGGTGTTAGTGTGAGAGAGGTTTCAGCAGGACACCAGTGCAGCAGGCAGGGTCAGGTGAGAGCTGGGGCTTCACCCAAAGACAGGTAGCCATGAGGGAGGTATCCTCCAGGCAGGCACAGCTCTGGGTAGCACAGCCCGGGTGCAGCCGAGCAGGCCCAAGGGCCTGGGCTCCCTGGCCTGCTCCTTCTTGGTGTGGCTTGCTCAGAAAAGCCCTCCTCCAGTGGTGACATCCCCAGGCTGTTCAGTCAGGGCAGTGGCAGTCTGTAGGGGCTCTAGGCTGAGGGTTTCAGCCTGCAGGTCTTGGCCAGTGGATTCTACAATGGCCCTCAGCCAAGTTCTTCCTCACTGCACACCTGTTGGCTAATTTAATTAAACTTCCACCAAAACGAGATAGGAGAGCAGCATCTATTCCTATTTGAGGGCTTCGGGTAACTGTCTGTTCATGCTGGTCCCCTGGCAGTAGGCTTCCTTCCCTTTGCTCACCTGCAATCGCCCCTTGTCCTGATCGTCCATCAAACACATGGACCAGCTGGAATCTGGGGAACAGGGTGCCCCATGAGTTTAATTCAGTAAAGTTGAAGGTGGGGAGAAATCATCTCCCAGCAGATGCTGCCAAATCACAACTTTCACCTCCTGGAGACACCTGTGGGTGCTGGGACATGAAAGTCCCAGCTGCAACAAAGGCCCCTGTTCCCATTATGTAGAGTGTGTCATATCCCTTGGGTGTTTGGGGCAGGAAGAGGTTGAGGAGGGTGGGCTTCCCAGAACCCCCAGAGAAGCAGAGCTGGCTTCCTGGTGGGAATGTCTGGAGCTCAGGAGCTCTTTTGCCCTGG